AATAGTTAACGCTTTGAATTTTTAACAATATAATTGAAAAATTATAATGTTTTAAAAGAACAGACGAGAAAACAACTACTTGTTCTGTACGAATAACATATGATTACAACATTTTTCTAAGAAAATTTTTGCTTGCATAATATAATTCAAGTGGGAAATGTTATTATTGTGATATCTATATAATAAACTAAGGATGAGTTAAGTTCATAATTTCGTATAACATCCGGGAGACATTTTTTACATGCAGGATACACTTTTCAGAAATATTTTTAAAAAAAAGTTGGAATCGTTGTTCGAAATTTCGTGTTTTTCAACACGAAACATTTCAGCGATGGCTCAGAAAAACGTCCTTTTTGCAGATAATTGCTGATGATACCTGGTGCTAAAGTCGACGCTGGTAAGTAGTTTTCGAGTTTCAAATGGGAATCGGGTTCCTAGGACAAATGTATCCCTCCGGGAAAAGTTTATGGTCCGTCGTTAAGTCAACGAGAACTAAAACGCGCACACAAACACACACACACACACACACACACACACACACACACACACACACACGCACACACACGTAGGTGTATACATTCGTGTACCTACACGTGCTCGCCAACTGATAATAGCTGGTCGTAAAGTGACATAATACATCGTTTTATTGCGACTCTTATATTACTACACCACGAGGTATAACCATAGCCAACGGCACTGTAATAATAATATCATATAGGAGGTGCACCAACCGTAGGCTGGAGCGATATATAATTACACTTTTATCGATCGGTGGACTCACGGTGACACACGTGCAGGGAGGCGAAAGTGGTGTGCGTAGCGTACCAAATATATATATATAATATACTGTTAACACTATAATATGGTATACTCTCACATATACGTATGCAATTACTGTATCGTGTTAGATGACGAAATATTTCGAATAGTCAAGGTTTGTAGATTTATATGTTCTCTGGCCGACTCGATTAGCGTCAATGATTATTATGTCGTCGTGATTCAGACATAGTCCCTCATTATTAAAACAGGAGTTACCCATATAATTATACCTATATTTCGGTAAGAATTAGTGATTGAGCGTGGTCCTTATCAACGGAGTAACATATTATACTACGCTCTGATTTCATTTTCACAACGTCAATAACTTTTGTTGAATCGGCTAAGTAAAAAAGTAGTTTCACTGTTCCAGTTTTTTTTAAACCGAAAATATCATGTAATGAAAAATAAACAAAGTTCTAATTATATCTCAAACAATAGTTATGATTTAGAACAAATTACACTCCGCAAGTAGAGTATAAAACTTACGTTTAGATACTTAAAATCTCAAATCTCTACTAACAAATCAAGTACTTGATATTTTAAAATATACTGCTAAATTCGTACATTTTATGATACGAGTTTTGTATAATATGATTCACAATGATAATATACACTTTAACGGAGTGCCACTACATTCGGCTACAACAACCGCATCCAACGACTGTCGCGGTGGAGACTTGCAATATTATGCGAGCTGCTCGGCGGGTCGGCACTCGGCACCCATCACCACGGTTGACGAATTATTCTGAATTTTTCGCCGGAAGAGAAATTTCTGAGAACGCGATATCATATTTCATTTTCATACCAGCAGAAGCGTGTCCCCAAAAAAAGAGCGCATATCATGGCCGTCAACTATATATTATTATTATAATACTCGCGGGTCTCTCTCGGTCTGCCCTCAACCCACCCCTCAGTCTTCGCCGTACTACTGCGCGTACACATCTCTCACTCTAGCCTGCGCCGGACCTCGTTCGAGTTCTCTCTGCAAATGAAAAGCGGACGAAAACGGACAAGCTCTGTCCCCCTCCCCCTCCCAGTGCTTTTGACACGTCCGTTCAGAGAATACGCGGCGTTCGTTGAAATCCGTTTCTGCGGAGTTCGTAATTTATTTTTAACGAGCTTTTTTTTTTTTATACGTTTTTTTCCCGCCTTTCCTTTTCTATATATATAAGCCCTCGTTTTGCGCGGCTCGAGTGTTTTTCCCTCCCCATCAATTTCTCTCCCTCTTTCTAAACACACACGCACACACACACACATAATATATAGGTACCTATGTATTATAGATCTTGTAGGTATAGGTATCCGTGACGACCGTATACGTTTACAAAATGGCGTTGAGATCTCAGTTATATTGCATGAAAAAAATTCTCAATTCATCAGCCTTTGTCAACGCGGTTTGTGCGTTTCCTTGCCATTCCGACGAGTAATGAGTAATGAGTACCACCAATCGATTATACCTATATTAGGTAGAATGTATTATAATATTTGAATAGGTACATAATATTATATACAGAATGATTACCCAAGTACGAGCAGCCACCCCTATATTTTTCTTTGACATTGGATTTATTCAAATCATGATTTTTGTCATTTTTAAACATATTGTTTAGGTACTTAGAACATACATTTTTAAATTAAAAAATTTTTTACACTACTTATAGAGTGGCTAGCTGCGATACAATTTTCTGTTTTTCAAATGAGAAAACGCACCTTTTTTTGCTGTAAATTATTTAGTGAATATATTTTTTTAAATTGTGGATGAACCTAAGTCAAAATTTAAACGATTAGTTTCTCAGTTGATAAAATGGTTATATCGTGGATAATTTAGTATTTAAAAACGATTTTACGAAAATATAAAATTGATGCTTCAACATTTTCTTGATTCTGCACAGGAGACTTATCCTTAAGTAATATAAAAAATTAAAAGTAGTAAAAAAAAGAGGTTTTTTTGTTAAACTGTAGATTATGAATAACTGCATTGTTGAAGAAAAATGGGGTGAGCATGCTTGGTGAATCACTCTGTATAATGACTCCGACATGACGACGATATACCTTCGAATATTATTGTAATTCGGTTTCTAATTAAATTATGTAATCATGTAAGCCGCATTATTCGTTGCGTTACTGAGCGTAGTTTGAATAAGTGGTTCGACTGACCTAAAATTAGACACACCGATCTACGATCCTTCATAATATAAATTACGAATTCGAGTGTTTGTTGAACTTCACTCAGACATTCACACATTTTGAACCAACCAGAAACCGTTAGAAAATTTGGAAATTCTCGGCACCGCAGGTCCGCAGCTATCCACACTTGAATATTTTAGGTGCTTTCAAGAATAATATATTATTCTTGGACATAATGACAATTTTTTGACATCGGAGTTTCCAAAAAGTAGTGATAAAGAAATCATCAGCTTATGAAAACCATAAGAAAATAATCTTTTATATTGTTGTAACTAGTTTGGCTTGATTAAATATGCATATAGAGTTATAAGATATTAAATCGGGATTGAAATAAATAATAGATCGATTTGAAAATAAAGAAAGAAATATCCATAGTATAATATTATAATACTTTTGAAAAATATTAATTTCTTGTATTTTATTTTTATTTTTTACTCTTTCGGTGGTTATAACGAAACAATTTTCAAAGATAAATCTGTCGTTGATGAAATTACTGTTGAATATGTTTGTGTGTTGGCGGGGAGCGCTTTGCGGATATTTTGATGTGAGTCGAGAGTAACAATTTTTAAGTCTTGTTTAAGCTTCCATATTCTAGGTAGCGTCGCCATATTTGAACTTGATGTGTGTTTATATCTTATAATATATTACTCACAACTTCTGAAGAAACTGAATGGCTTGAAGTTAAAAACAAAAAAGCCATAATGTTTGTTTGACATCTTTCTTATACATAATATCTTAAAGTATGTATATTGTATATTGTATAGTGAGTTTCGTCTTAAAAACTGTCTATGCCGTGCGTTTTTCTTATCCATGATCGAATTATCTTCTTTGTCTAAGTTTTGAAACTGTTCTTATGGGAATTTTTCAGGTATGCGAACAAATGTTTCTACGCACTGCTGTAAAAGCGATTACTTACCAGCAGCTAGGTTCTGTAGATGTTGATATGAATCGCTCTTTCCACGTTGAAATTTACGACCGCTTAGTTTAATAACAAGCGAATAAAAATCCTTCGTTTATAATATATAATATATTATTTTGTTTTCGAGGTACGGTAATTTTTTTGTCGTTTTTGTTTAATATTCCACAATTATATTATTGTCGCAGAAATAATTTTATATCACTTTACTATTTGTTTGTACAATAAATAACGCGCATCTGTAGAGGTATTCACCAATATTATAATATGATTTCCTTTCGCATAAATTCGAAATCTTCCACCGAAAGATTATGCAAACGTCGTAACAAAAGAACATTAATTCAATGGACCTTAATCCCGGTCTGATTTATTCGGTATCACAACGTATTAAACAGGTACATTTGAATTTATTTTGTACGAATGTAATAATATATCGTGGTAAAGTGTAACCGGAGTGTAATGTGAAATATAAATACTCCTGACATAGTGTGTGGGGAGCGTGGAGGATCTATATTTAAAATGTATGCACGTACCTATCTTAATATCAATGATAACCATTTCGATGGATAAAAAAAAATATGAGTCTCCTTGTATACTGCTGCAGGTGTATTATTAATACTTTTTTTATAATACTATATAATTATCGTTATCGAGAAACTACCTACACGTATTGCGCCGATCATGTCGATAAAGCGTCGCATGTTGTTGTTGTTGTTGTTGAATTACCTTTACTATACACATTATAATGTTTGAGCTTTTTGCGAGTACGGTAAATATATTTGTCTTTTGATGTGCTTAACAGAACAACTACTTAAACATTTTTTTACTAGACTGGTTTATAATATAGGTATGTCGAGAACTTCATGTTGAAAATTCAATTATCTTATCACTTAAGGGATGCAGAGTTCCTGGAAATATACTATATTTTTGTATGGGTAGCATAATCTTTTAAAATGGATATGATTATCAACTATATACTTACCTTGTATGAAAAGTCGAATGTAATTTTCGTCTTTTTTTATACGCCATAAAATGTTTTACACAGGTATTATTATTTATTTAAAAACCATGTTCTTACCTTCCAAACCGAAAAAAGCCTCTTCGTCAATACTCGATATTTGATTTCCGTCCAACTCCAACGAGTTCAGTAGTGGCAAATGGCGAAAAACTTTGGCAGGTATATGTTTGAGATAATTGTGTGCTAGGATAAGCATATCCAATGTTTGTAAACCTTAAATCATGTATAATAATAAAAAGAATTAAATTATGCCCAACGGTAGATTTTTTTGTACAGAAAAAATTTGTTAGTTATAAGAACGTTAACAATTATTGTGAGTGAATTATTGGCTGAAAAGTATACTCGGTGGACATAAAAAAACAGTGGAAAAAACAGCCACCGCCACTAAAGACGTAACATTTATTTATTATAATCATTTATTAAAATACCGGGCTTGATTATTAATAATGAGTATTATGATTACTATTATTATTTATAATTTATCAAAAAACAGATTTTTATGATAGACTTGAGATATTATATTACATTATAATTATATTATTTTTTGATTTTTATCATCTTTAAAGAAGTAAAACATAATTTTAATATTTACACGCAAATTATTGTCTACTTATTCTTAGTACAATCAGGTTTGAGTAATGGATCGATGTTTTGGGGCTGTTCATATAAAACTCAGCTAGAAATAACAATTTATAATTAAATCACATATTTTATACTGGATACACCTGTACTTTACAAAGCTCGTGTTATGTGAGCTAAATGTACTCAGATTTGATGATTAACTTTACACATAATATGTACTTTTTTTTTAAATATATAAATATAATAATTTGGTATCTATTATAACTTAAGTTATAAGTCTGTAAACCTTAATAATTATAATAACAATACAATAAAAACGTAATAAAAATACTATAGCGAATAGTAAGGCCACTTTTGGATCACAATGTTCAACTTTTGTAGTAGAATCTTTATGTATAAAATGTACACAATATTAACGAATATCATTTGAAAACGCTTACTTTTAAATTATTTGTATACAGTTTGGTTTTGATAAAGAGCTGTGGCTATTATAATTTTAATATAATTATTTTGGCCATGTTTTTGTTTCAAAAATATTTAGAAAATTCACCAGATTATGTTAGAATATATATTTTATATGGTATAAATTTATCATAAATCACGATTATGATAAATAATAATAATAATGTCTTTATTTTTGGCATAAGATAAAATATAAGTTTAGAACTTAACTCTCCCAACACAATCTGAGCTTACATAGAGTGTATACCTATATATCTGTAATTAATTAATTATTATGTAATTTTATGAGACAAATAAAGTTTTATTATTATTGTCATTATTTTTTTAGTTAAGAATAATTTGTCTTGTTTTACAAGTGGCAAATAATTATAAAAATGCTTATTGTCTTTTAAAATTATTTAAAACAAAAATTGTAAGAAGCTCGTTCATTAATCATTAGTTTAATTCATAATATGTACATAATATAATTTTTAAAACGTTTTTTAAACTATATTATCTTTGAACTACTGTAACAATACTTCTGAGTAAAGTTAAAAGTGATCCACGGATAAGAATACAAATTCAATACTTATCAAACAAAATACATACCCTTATACAAATAAGAATAAAAGTCCTGCACACCAATACATGTTTAAGAGTTATTGAGTCTTGAGAATAAAAATAACATTGAAACTATTTTTAATAAAAAAAATGAAAAATATAAAAGCGGCTGAAGCCATATGACGAAAGCATTAATTTAGCAAACATGGTTTAATATGTGTCATATGTGCTATGTAAGTAATAAATTATTATCTTAGCAGTTATTAATATTAAATTCATTTAACATTTTCATCTACTTGATAACTCAATAAAAGCCGTGTTTCGTTCAAAAGTTTATAGTTAATTATAATAATTTATGATGAATTACTTAAACGATTGCATATTAAATAATGCACGAAAGTAATTATATATTATCTTAAGTCCTTGAGTACTATTAACCATTTCGGAGTGAACAATTCTGAATTTTTAACAGTAATAATAATTACCTATGAAATCGCCTTCGCTGATCGACGTAATCTTATTTTCTTGAATTTCTAATTTCTTTAAGTTGTCCATCGTCTGTAGAGCTCCGGTCGGTACCCGGTTCAATTCGTTACCACCGATGTTCAATCGTTTCAGTTTCCTGCGGACCGATGAAAATGTAACATAATCTAATGAAATACCATAAAGAATACTTCTACGAAATTACTTCTCTGTGCCGGCGAACGCATTGGCCTCGATGTTAGTAAGCCGATTTTCGTACAAGGTCAATATCTCTAGCGTGCTCATTCCCTCGAAAGCGTTTGCGTGGATGGCGGCGATTTTGTTATGGTTCAAATTAAATATTAGCAATCGATCTAAGCTCTTCAACGCCGGAGTCGGTACGCTGCTTAACGAATTCTGAGACAGATCTAATTGGGTGAGTGCTTTTCCTGTATAGACACAAATAAACGTATAAACATAAATATATATCAAGTAAAGTTTTAGTGTACGAGGAAAAAAGAGTTAAAGGAATTATCGTGATACGAGATTTAAAACATTATACACAGTTTAGTTTACGAACATGATTATTTGAAAAACTCCCAAACATTTATGTTGAAGTAATAATAAATAATATTACTTAACAACTGATTATAACGTAAAACATTAACGGCATTTGGAACTTATTTAAACTAAAAAATTATGATTATTTTTACAAACACTGAGTATACAAAGTCTGTTTTTATTTAAACATACCTTATAATAAAATATATACTTATATTTACAGCGACAACTCCTTTCGTTGATTACAATAATTATTAATTTTAATTTTTAACTTCAATTAGTAGGTATAGCGTATTTGTTTATATTTACTTAAAAGTAACAATTGTGTTTTGCGTAATGTCAAATTCGAGTTCAACAATCATGCGAAGGATGATCAACGAGTATTGTTGTTTTTAAATTTATAAAATATAAACCTTTAAGGAAGTGACAATCTAATAATAAAAATCTATGGCTCCTCAGGGAATATTCTCCACAGATGAATTTAAATTATAGAAAAGTTATTTTCAAAACTTATACATATAATATATACGTACACCGTGTACGTTAAAAATACGAACTCTAAATATTGTTGTTATTTTATTAACAGTCAGCTTGTTGTAAATAAGCAAACAGAAAGGGTTCAACAAGGAAAATGTAATATTCATTTGAAAAAAAATCAATAACGAGGTTGAAAAATGTCGATTGGCAGCAAAAAGGCGAAGTTGGTAACGGTTTTTGTGTTTTGGTATTTCACAGGTATGAGAACACAATATAAGTGTTTTGGAAAATTGTCAAACATATCGAGTTTGTTACTTTTTGAAAGTATTGTTATTGCCGAGAACTTTTATGGAAGCGGCTAAAATAAAAAGAATCGTTTAAAGTTTTCAATGGGTTGAGTATGTGAGACTGCGTTGGAAAACGGAAGTGATGATGTATTAATCATACCCGTAGATGTTTTCGACATTCTCGCGTTGTTTTGTACTTGATAGGTGTTTAACTTTCCAAAACTATTCCCGAATCAGTTCGACAAAACGTAAAATCGACAGTAAACGGCATAAGCTCGGGTTTTATCGCATCCAACAATAATACTGGGTACGAAATTCGATAAAATATAATATATTACACAGACAGTTCGTCTATAATAATATATAGTACGTCGAAATTTGCATGTCAATCATTATAATAATAATATTATTCGTTTCACAACAATAATTCAGTACCACATTATATATGTAGGTATATATATTATATTATGTGTGTTTTACGTTTGAGTGTTGGCGATGACTCGTGCTTGACATCGTGTATTGATTATAACATCTCCACTCCGTACAGGGTGTCCCGTGGTGTAAGCTTTTCAAGTAGGTAGGGGGACGGGTCATAAGTCATAATATAAACTCGGTTATAAGTTATAACTAACGAACGAAAAATAAATGAAAAACTCGCGTGAATGCTGTCAGTCGTCTTGCGTTCAATTTAGAGTACCCATTCAATAAAATATAATATACAGTGTTCAGAAAACCGGAAGTTCGTGCATTGCTATATTATGACGTACACGACTATACATATTGTATATTATTTATGTGTTTGATTTCTGTTGAGAAGTATATATTTTGTATAAAAAATTGTGATAATGTTTTTTTTTGCTATATATTTAAAAAAAAACTCAACACAGGTATAGACCACGGAGGATCAGCGTGTATGACAATGAAACGACGGATGAGATCATAATAGAGATCAGTTTCGTTTGCTCGTTATTTGCGACTGTTTTACATTTTTTAATGACGCAGTACAAAAGATTATACTCATAATGTTATTTAAAAATTATGATCCATAATATATATAATTTATATAGAAACTTGCGTTAGGGGGGGGGGAGCAAAATATATTTAGAATATTTAAGGGGATGTTAGAGTCCCACAATTATGGACGGTGATGGTGCTTTGTGGTGATAATATGCGACAGTTGAAGATAAAATGAGTATAATGTCACAAACCATGTGGTTGTTGTGAAGTGTTTAACAAAGGAGGGGGTTGTGAGACCTAGACAACAAAAAGTTTTTATTCAGCATTCGTTTTAAAATGTAAATAGTATATCAAAAAAGTTCTAAACAGAAAAACAAATACTAGATAGTAATTGACTGTTTAACAGGTATAGCAAAATCAAAATAATCGTTTACATATTTTATTTTGTTTATTTCGAGTTAAGATGTTTTTTATTACGATTCAAGACAGATCGATTCCCCCAAAATAATGATTATTGTCAATTTAATGTCTGTCAATAGGTAAATATAAAAATACGAATTGTGGCTTGGTTAGGCGTGGTGTCTACATTCAGTTGCGTACGAGTGAATGAATGCACCGGCTGGTGTTACTAGTTCCCGGATAGATTATCACCCAGGATTTTCAGTAGCAAACCCTTGCCACAAGAACACGTGTTCCGATCCAGCGTACCATCACCCATAGTAAAAACCGGCTAATAACTACAGTTGATGTCATACAAAAAAAAAGAGATTACAAATTGTTTAACAAAATATGTACTTATTCGTAAAATGTTTTCAAAAATATTCAAAAATATGTAATAACAATGAATACGTTGATATGTATTGTATTATTTACTATGTATTTATTTACACAACTATATAATTTATGTGTAACTGTTTTTTTCCTAATACTCTCGTATGGTAACATTGCTTTCATATAATCTGCCCACCGTTCCCCCATCCGACCGTCATTTTCGATAACCGATCGGTGATATAAACAATCTTTATCACCACCATGCTCACCGATAGAACTTAGCGACGACTCTTCGACCACGGCCAGCGTGCTGTTGTGTATGGTCAGGTGCCGGATGTCCATTCCCAGGAACACGAAACCTTGCAACTTGGGCAGGTTGTTGTGCCGGAGCTTCAGGTAGAATATGACCAGCGATGGTTTTCCCTTGAGCACGGCCATTGTTTTGGATATGTGCTGCAGATCGGTGAACTCGCACAGTATGTCCAGACCGCCATTCTTCTTCACCGTGCACACGCACGGTGCAATTTCGCCGTGCGTGGGACATTGCTGAATGACCGGACCGCTGGCAGACCATGCCGGGTCTACGGAGACGGCCGACAGCAGGCCGAAGAACACCAATACCGACGTGGGCACCATCGCTAGCCGGTGGTCGCCATACCTGCAAACAAAAATCTGGAATTAGTGACGGTTTGAGGACACAATTTATTTATTTTATATTTTTTAACACCCCGAAGGGGTATTACAATTTTATAAAGTAACACACATGTAGTTACAACTAACAGCGTATATAATTATAACACATAGAAGATACCATAAGGATTTACCACAAATACATATTATATTGTGTAGTTGCGAAACGAATGGGTCTTGGGAGGGGAAATACTCCAATACATAATACATAGGTCAATTGTTCTCAATCTTTTTTTCGCGACCACATTCTAACTTATGGCCAAATAAATGGTAACACGCAATTCTACCAGTTAATGGATTTTTTTCTAAAAAAAAACGATTATAAATGTATGTTAATTATTATTATGTTTATTTTACGTGTTACTATTTTGTTATAAAATGTACATATACTTCATTAAAAACTAAGCAGTTTTAGCTAGGTATTTAAATAAGAAAAGTACTATAAAATGTAAATAAGAATAATAAAAAAAAATTATTGCGATACTTGAGATTGGTGAACTGAACATAATCTTCAATTCTCGGGTGAGAAGCCCTCAGAAGGTATTCAATGTTTATGATGTACTCAAATAAACATTAAATAACTATATCAGTAAACGAATTATGTTCTCATCATATTTAACAAACACGATAATTGCTTTATTGTTAATCGTTAAGAGGGTAATCTTTTTGAAAATTTTGATTTATATAAACCGAAATTTCAACGAGTAGTTCTTTATTTATTAAATTTAAGGTACTAGAATAATAAATTATAGTCTATTATAATAAGTTTAGAACGTATCCAATGATTTGAAAATTATAGTAATTAACATTTTAATTAATTAAAATTTTATAATTTGTAAAAATCATCTGAGTACCTATAGCTATAACAAGTACTTGACTATTAACATTAATTAATTTATATTTTATGTAAAATCATTGTTAAGGATTATTATTCTTAACGATCATTTTTCACTACTCAGTTATTTTAATGAGAATTAGGTCAACAATATTTGAAGAGCTGTTCAGTACGATTATAATGTATTAAGGTGATATCGATATGCTTAACGTCTTAAATTTGTAATTTATACTACCCTGTCTACCCTACTGTAGCTGAGTATCGCAACCATCAAATTAATAATAAAATATAAGGATACGTTTTCAAGAGAATGTACGTACTGTACAATTCTATTGTTATTCTGGGTTTATTATTTGGGGTAAACTCGTAAGTTGAAAAATTATAGAGCTCAGTCTACGTCGATTTAGTCCCCTGTCTACGCCTATGAGTATAAGTCGTACGATTTACACTCGTCAACACTATTCGACGTAGGAAGGTCAGAGAAGTTTCTACGTTTTTAAAAATTTATTTTGGAGAATAAATCGTTTTCGACTCCGCTTGTGAGTTGTATACAAAATCGTGTTGTGTCGATGCGAATCGAATGAGATTATTTGAACTTTTAGTTTTAGCGAAAATAAGTATTTAATATACAGGTGGCTAATCAATCATACTCGACCTAATTTTTCTCTAATAAAGAATTCATCCAAATTTTGAATTTGGAAATTTTTAAGTATACTCAAGGATCATTAAATATTTCGATATTTTGTACCATTTAAAGAGTGTTCTATGGATATATAAATTTATTTTTCATATGCGAACCATTAAAATCAAAATTTGAACTAGAAGTTTCGGAGATATTAAAATGTATTTTCTATAAGGAAAATGACTTTACAAAAATATAAAATATAATATTTAATATTGTAGGTCCTTATTATTCCTTTAACTTTTTTACGGATAGTAAAACGTTGAGATTAATATTTATTCTGATAATGTTGTCCCATTTCTTACGAATCAATTTACATCGACGAATTATCTATTCTTAATATACAAAGTTAAATAGCTCAAAAACTATTAGTTCAAATTTCAATTTAGTAAAATCAAATGTTAAAAAAAAAAGACATCTGCCTTAAAATTTACATTTAACAGTGAAAATAGAGTGGTCCTCATTTGAATATAAACAATTGCTTATCACCATATGAAAATTCTTAAATAGTAGAACAAATATCTGAAAATATGGAATAAGTTTGAAAATATTGTCGTCCTTGAGTGTGCCTTCATAAAAGTTCAAAAAACTTAACTTGAATTAATTCGTTATTAAAAAGAAAACATGTGCGTGAAAATGGCCGGTGAACCACCACCCTGTATAACCCATAGTCATAAATAATGAACAATATTTAATTGTTGACACACGAGTACGTATAACGCTACCTGTAACGACGTGGGACCTACAGCTAGTGGAGTTTTTAATCCGGGCTGGTACGTGTCGGAACTGTATTATTACGTTACTGCAGATGATGCGACTCTCGCCTTCCATAATATTATATAACTGACTAAAAGGTACGCGAAAAATGTTTATTTTTCTCATAATTTGGACTCGATAACGCATATTATATTCTCCACAGCCGTTAACTGTGGTAATTGTGACTAGCTAATTGTCCTGTACCTACTTTCGTCACAACATCCATAGACGATCGTATTGGTATTATTATGTTTGTTAGGTATCCGTTGTAGTTCGTACTTCGAAATGTTATATGTTTTATTTGCGTAAAATGGGTCTTGAAAGTTTTTACCAAGTTTCAGCGTTACAGCAGTGCATGACTATCGTTGTCCACAGAGTTGTGTATAGCTAAATAATTGTTTATCGAGCTGGTCGAAACAATATAAGGCAACGGTGTTTATGTGAACTTTCTTGACTGGTAATAATAATAACTAATTTCAGACGTATTCAATTATTATAATAATTTATTGGAGGAGGAAGAAAATCACAGAATTCACCGTTATTATTTATTAACTTGTATTAGTATACAACACAGTACTTAACACACGCAGTATTATAGGTAAACGATTTTTAAACGATCATCATAAAAAAGTATTAAAAACTATAGTAATAAAAAACATAACATTTTTGTGTGCTCGATAATAGCTATACTCATTATCCGTTTAAATTGTATGGACATGAACAAGTCACTACAGAACTATTCAACTATTCCTACAATTTTCCAATGCCATAATACTGTACTGCCAATACGCGTACGAAAAACCACGTGACAGTTCGTTTTTTATTTTTATTTCGATGACGTTTTGGTGTACATTTATCAAATTAGCTAAGGTTCGTATTATGGATTTATAATGGCTCAAAGGAAATACTCTAAAAGTTTGATCGAAACTTTCTGTCATTTATTGTCCCCATAACCATCTGTTTATGACTTGTAAAAAGGCGTACAGACCATTGTGCACGGGGCTTGCTACAAATGCTTTTGAATACATTGAGTCGATTTCGAGTTTAATAACTATAATAATATTTATATTTTATTTTCATAAACAGCTCTATGTATATTCGATATGTCGAACACCGCATAGCTATATGTACAGAGAACACGTTGTTTAGGTTCAGTGAGACGTTACTACGGCGGTGAGTGTTGTCAGAAAACACGTCACAGTATATTATACTTTTTAATGTTTTCTTTAATACCCTTTTTTATAAGTATTATATGTAAATATACTATGTAATTCATTAATGTCTAAAAATAATCTTGACAATTGTAGTTTATGAGAAATTTTATTTAATCCTACCTATCAAATATGATTCACTATTTTTAGCTGTAGGTCCCGGAAGGTTTGAAAAACGACAATAACTGAATTTGTCTATACTATCTATGTGTAAGGTAAAATTTAAATATCTCACAATACACGAAGAAGCTTTTAGGGGTGGCATTGTCGAAGAAGATATTTTTTTATTGATTAATATTATTGTACTTGTATATAGGTATAGGTAGGTAGGTTATATTATTCAATTTAGACATTTGTACATTTTATTTTGTTCGTTATAAATTGAGTTTTATTTCGTGGTCTTGATCTTAGGAAATGTGATATAATGTTTCCAGAAGGGCGCATTGTTCATACGAATGATGCGATTTATTTTTAATTTTTCTTGCCGTAAGCTTTGAAATCCAATTTCTTATTATCTTTTATTTTTATTATTCCGAATTGTACCACTGGGTTTTCTGACCCTTATGTGCTGTCCCATTCCTTTGGGTTTACACTGAATTGCACTGTTTACCTATTATACAGTGTACGGAGTGAGTGTTTGATATAAACTTACCACTTTATTTTCTTGTTGTGTCTTTAAACTATTTCGACTTGATAAAAATAGAGTTTTAAAATAGTATTTTTCACCAAATTATTGTAGTAGCTATAACTTGGAAGTAAAAACAAAAACTACTTAATGAGCTAAATACATTTTTTCAAAGTGAGACATAAGGTACCTAATATATGACTTTTTGACATCATTAATCTAATCTATATTGCAACATAAAAATAGTAAACTATCGCTCATTACAAGAATATATTTGTTGAACATTACATAATATAGTATCCTATTTTATTCTCTTTAAATATTCGACAGTATAACCTGTTATGTAGCTTTAGAAGACAATTTTAGATTCTGATTTTATTTACCTGATATACTTATAAATTAAAATACTTATTTCAATATAATATTTAATCTACATATCATTAATGACAACTTTTCAAAGTATCAAATGTACTAACATGTATAAGTTCATAAGAAAAAAAATATACATCACAAGAGTATTGGATAACTTTGGAACAAATATTATATTTCAACTGTCAAAAACTGTATTATATATACGACAGATTAACATGGTATGATTAATATTTAAAAAAATTCGAATAAAATATTTACCAAGAGTCTGAACCTACTTATGATAATAAAAATAAAATACATAATATTATATAATATTTTGTATTTATTAGGTAAGACAGGTAATAATTTTTTTTCCGTATTAGACATATATAGAGTGTGGTGCGTTTATGCCAATTTCTTACAAATTAGGAATCACTAAATAAAACTTTTATTTCAATTTATGTGTGCGTTGGAAGTTTGTGTAATTTGCATACTTTGCACGTTTGGC